AAGAGGCTGCCCAGGGAAGTGGTTGAGTCACCATCCCTGGAAGTATTTAAAAGACGGGTAGATGAGGTGCTTAGGGACATGGTTTAGTGGGCATGGTGGTGCTGGGTTGATGGTTGGACTTGATGATCTTGGAGGTCTCTTCCAACCTTAATGATTCTATGAATATTGTAATGCCAGTCTGTCCAAAAGCGTACTAACAGAAAAACCACAGCATAATCAGACACTACGTATGAAGCAGTGGTACGCAAAATCTGAAAGAAAACACCTGACACTTCCAAAGACCTCAGGATTTCCTAGGTGTCCTAGGAAATTCCCTACATTTTCCAAACTACCCTACAGTTGCAACTTGACAAAGAACCTCTCTAGAAACGGTGAGGGACAATGAGTCTAGTTTTAAGGATCAAAAAGCCCAGGGATGGAAAGATTTTGTGGATACGGAAAATGGTCCAGTAGAATTAATATATGGTTATGGTCATGTCTATCAATAGCCTACGTCTCCTAGATTTGGAGCGGCATCAGTCCTATCATGAAAAAGCATGACCTGGGCATTACTCTCCTGTCATCAAGCACTTAACAAAACAGACAGACAACCTGAAGAATGAACAACTCGTAAACTGTTTCAGGAGAGAAAAAGCCCCAGTTTTTTTCCTGTGCTGATTTTGTTTGAAAAAAACCCAAAGTTTTCAAATTCTGCCCCTGTGTAATCTTTTGTTAAATAAAAATCAAATGCCTATTTTTTCAGTTCTAGGTTATAACGCGTGTTCATCCCCAATAATTTGATTGACTGATATCAAAACTCATCCCTTCCCCTCCAAGTCTCCTACCAAGCTTAATCAAGTTTTCTTTCAAACAGGTAAAGCAAAAATATGTGTCATTAACATCACCAAAAGCAATAAAAGAATAATCAGTAAAGTGTAAATTTCTACCTCAGTAGAATCCAACTGAGAGGTCAAATTCTGTCTTCGGAAAGTTGTGCTAGGGTATCTGAGTACAGAATAGAAATGAAGCTGGGATGGTTGGTCAAAGTACAATATCACTCACAAGACAAGGAAATCTGACCCAGCTTCCTTCAAAGAGCAGCTGACCCTGTTCTTCAGAGTCCAGGCTGGTAAAGAACCTCTTGAATCAAATAAACTTTGATCCAGAACTATCTGGAGGAACGTCCCCCTGGGCAAAAGGGACGTCAGAAACAAAGCAAGAAATGTTCCAAAGAGAGAAAAAAACAACAGTCCGTGCTCCATTGCCAGATGAGTTTTCATTTACTGTTCATGCTGTGCTATACACTGCAAGAAGGGATGATCCATGCTGTATAGCACTGAAGAGTGTCACAGGCAAAGAATAAAGCAGGTATGTGTAGCATACCTGCTACACATTAAGGATCAACAGTTACCCCTCCAGCACTATTTTATTATGGTATTAAATTAGAGTTGGCTGAGAATGAAAATTGCCATACCAAACATTTTTTCCCTTTCTTCTTTGTTGAAATTCAACATACAGACGAGCATTTTCACTGAAATTTCAAAATGCAAGAATATCTTCCAACAGTGAAGAAATGCCAGCACCTGAGATTTGATGGAGTCCAAAATACAGATAACAAAAAGAAAAGAAAATGTTAAATAATGGAACAAATATAACCTACCTTTTGTGCGTGGAATTCACCTCCGATTGAAGAACCAGCAAAAGATCTCTGCATACTTGGTTAACATCCTCAAAACAGAATTTCAAACATATGTAATCTTCAAGCTGGGGAATCTCACATGAGATGCTAACTCCTTAATAATTACTACCTCAGGAAGTAGAAAGAACAGGGTTTTCTTATATAGGCTATATAATTCTAAGAATTAATCAAATTTCCCTATAATGCAGATATTAAGAGCACAATGAAAGTAAACTTTTAACAGTCCAGACTCGAAATACATTTACTTCTGTAATATTTACATAACTGTATGGTTTAGGAGGAAATAAACCTTTCTGTGGTACAGAAAATTCACGAAGGCAAGATTGTTTAAATAATTCTGCATTTCTAATTTCATGCCTGCTTCTGATGGTTACACAGATGTTCTAGAAATCTGTCAGCTGCATCTCCTCTTTTGCACACACAGAAAAGAGGAAGCAGAACCCTCACCACCAACTTCTCTTCACATCAAAATCTCTTGCAGAGCTCTACCCCACTGAGTTATTTTCCTCAGCAAGCAGACTAATTAATGTAGCACACTGACAGATGGCAAAAGCTTAGATCTCAAAAGCTAGTAACAGGGGCAAACTGGCACCATTCAAAACCTTTACAGGTCAGTCATCTTTACAATAGAGATGCCGCCTGTGGCTATCAGGGATGCCCCACATTGTAGCTTTCTTCAAAAAATTATAAAAAATGAACTATAGAGAATATTTGCTATGATATGAAAGCTGTAAAGAAGCCATGAAGAATACAGCAATATAGGGCAATCTGGGGATGGAGGAATCCAATAAAGCAGCCATTCAATTAACGTCTTGAACAGGGACATGAGCCTAGCGAGCAAGTCAACAGAGCAGAGCGTGAGTGCATTGCAAAGGCAGATGTAAATAATCAAAACCAACACCTCACTGCCATAAGCCTCCGAACTAATACAACATGCTTCAGTAAGATTAATTAGCCAGGAAGAAAGAAGCAGAGATGAATAAATGAATGAAGATTTATTTAGTCTTAATGAATTTTAAGACCAAATTCATGAAGTATGTAATGAATTCTTCAGGTATGAGCAAACTAGGGGAGAGGGGGCACCTTGGCCTATTCTGGACTCAGTCTAGAGCTTACTCCACCCCATAAAACAGCATCTTGGAGGAGAGCTGGAGGCAAGAAAGGATTCAGCTAAAGAAAGCTGAGAAGTATGAAAATTTATTCTAGACAGCGGTGCCAGCTATATTTCAAGCTTGCATTAGATTCCTTTTTAAACTTTTCTTTTGCAATTACCTTTTTAATTTTGTAAAGAAGAATTTAACCCTTTGCTTGGCTGAAAGAAAATGTCTGTTTTTCATTTTGAGATTGATGAGTAAGATAGTCTGAACTGAAGCTGAACTGAAACCATTCTGCCTTCCTTGGTGCAGCGAATCTGAGTAACACATTACAGAAAACTCTGAGACATCTTTGACTCAAGACAAGACCAAGGATCATCAATGTTTTGCAATAAGCAGCAAGAGTCTGCTTGTCGGCTGATACTGTCTTGTCTTCAAGTTAAAGGAGAATTTCCTGTTGCTGGGCATTAATCCATGAAAATGAATAGACTAAGGCACTTGTTGACGGAACAATAATATCACAATCAAATTGAGAACTAAATTATGCAAACCAGTGGCAGTTTTACTTCCAATATAGAATCATAGAATCATAGAATAGTTTGGGTTGGAAGGGACCTCTAAAGGTCATCTAGTCCAACCCCCCTACCATAGGCAGGGACATCTTCAACTAGATCAGGTTGCTCAGAGCCCCCTCCAACCCTACCTTGAATGTTTCCAGGGATGGGGCATCCACCA